ATGTATAATAATAATAATAATAATAATAATAATAAATAATGCATAAGTTTTGAATTAATCGAAATCAATTCACAAAATAATTTTCCTTCTTCCCCTTCTCCATCGAGTTAATTATTTTTAATTGACATAATAACAATAAATAGAAAAAGGGAATGAAAAGATTTGTAATATAAAGTAATATAAAGTAATATAAAGAATCATACAAATCAATTCTATTATATAGTAAACAAAAATGTAGTGTAACACTGTATATTATTGGTTCCTTTTACGTACGATCTTGTACAATTGTGACGTACATCACATCATTGAATTGGTTTCCATTTAAGGACATTCCACGAGAAAAGTTTAACATGAATTGTCACCGAGATGGTACTAATAATTTACTCAGCATATTATTTTTAACATAAATATACGAGTTATCCTTTATCTCTTGTTTGATAGTTTCCTAAATACAAAAATTAATATTTTCTATATTTTCTCTATTATTAATCCTCCATGATTTGGTTAAATAGAAAATTCCTTTTCGCTACGGTTACTTTAATTGCTTCAATACTTTTATTATCATCGCAAGTAATTGCTAAAGCTGCAAAATGTAGAACCGTCACCAATACACGCAGTTGTACTAAAACGGTTTATCCCTCGAATTGCCCAAATCCCCTCACCACCACCACCCTCGAAACTACAACTACCACCACCACTACCACCACCACCACCTCCACCACCACCACCACCGGTGTAAGATCCATTTATGTAAAGAGAAATGAACCATCTGTTGTCTGCAACCTTGATACAAATTGTAAAAATGGCCATATCATTTATGCTCATGACAAATGCGATAAGATCGTCTTTTGTGACCCAACTATTTTTCTACCATGTCCAACAGTTAGTACTATAACATTGGCCTCTACTTCAACCACCACTACAACTGATACCGTTTCCTCCTTATTGATATCCACTACCACCACATGTAGGCCTAATGGTGCGCCATGTGATATTTATAACATTCTAGACCTTTTTGCTTGCTGTGGCTATGGTTGTGAAACTGTTTATACTGCAACTACTTCTACCTATACCTGTTTTGGCTTCAATTAGAATTTACTTATAATAATGAATTCTGTTTCTGTAATACATAGAATTTAAGCATTTTCTTATTTAGATTTATATATTAATAATTACTTGGTTTATTAATGTGTACAATAATCGAAGCAAGATGTGCTTACTTGCCTTGTCCCAATAAAGTATACGACCATTTTGTCACTAATTAATTTTTTAAATTTTCGTCACGTCGCGCCGTGTTGATTATAATAATTAAAAAATTGTAGAAATACTTGTTTATTTGATTACTTCCTTCCTCTCGCTATTAGAGAATTTTAAGCCTTTTTGTTGCTTTCTTAATTATTCAAAAAAATGTGTATACACGCTATGCTCTATCGGATACACATTTTTTGTCTCTATGAAAATATTGTCTGAAAAAATTTCATGGCGCAACTTTTTCGTGATCTTGTGCTGATAGGTGGCTCCAGAGAAACAGTGTGCGGTTGACAAAAGTTTACACCCAAATATGGATTTATCAATATTGTGCTTCTGTTCTTTACAAAAAAAAAAAGTTTAATTGACCAACAAACAGACCCGTACACTTATATTGTAGTAAAAAATCTGTCGCAATCATACGACAATGACTCCCTTAAACATAAACTTTTACCGCAATTTCATCAAAATTTTTACGTATACTATTAAAAAACTTTATTTTGAATCTATATAATGAACATTCTTTTCCGAAGAAATGGTTAAAAACAACATTCAAAATCAAAGTCCTTCTGAAGCTTCATGCATCACATATATTATATGTATTTATATTACATGTACAATATAAATTTCTCATATATATAAATAATATAAATGATGTATAAAACATATCATAATATTAAAGAATATTTATAAAATAATTTCTAAAAGTCTTGTTATAAAAAGTACATTTATTCTTCCTCTTCTTCACCTGTAGTATCAGCCAATATAGGTTTTGGTTGGGTATTCTTGTATGCTATAAAATAAAAAATAAAATAAATATTGTGTATATAAATATTTATATTTATATTGATTTCTATATAAAATGTAATTTTATTACCTTCTCCAATCCATTGTG